TACTTTACCAGCTGGTGTCAAATTCTCACCCTATAGAATTAAAAATCATTGTTGATTTTTAACCCCCATCCCCCCAGCTGACAAATGTAAACAGCTTCAAAGAAGCATCATCTTGAGCAATGGATCTTTGGACTAAGAAATTGATTCTCAGATCAACAAGTCTTGCCAGGCTCTGGGGCACCTGCATACTAGAGTGCTCAATCAACACAGTCTTAGTATCTACATAAAGTTGAAAGCCTACTGAACTGTGGTTGTCCATTTTCTCCTATATGGATGTGAGTTCTAGACTCTGTACCAGCAACATATCAAACAACTGGAGAAATTTCACATGCATACTCTGTGTTCCATCCATCCTACCTGGAGATCTTGAAACATGTGAAGTCTATCACCATTGAGTCCCTGATTATCAGAGGCCAGATATGGAGTGTGGGACAAATCATTAGAATGCATGACCACCATATAACTCACCAGTTGCTCTATGATGTACTAGAGACTGTGAAGATATCTTAAAGTCGTTCACACAAGCACTTCAAAGATGTTGTGAAGGAAACCTGTGACATCCAGCAAAGGGAATTAAAAGCTGTAATTATCCTTTGAAGCCTCTACTGGGTTTGAAGTTAGTCATCATCAAAAACTGATAGAAAACATTGAGTGGCATCACAGAATAACACCAGCAGTTATTAAAATGGAGTAATTGTGTTAGACTCTACACTTCCAGACTGTGTTTGCAGAGCCATCTCTGTGCCCATAGATGAAGTGTATAACATGTCTTCTTTCAATCTGAAGGACAACCTACAGTATATATAAACTGAATACAGGGAGGAAAAACTATTGAATACAGGGAGGAAAAACTTTTGTTCTCTAGATTGTAACAGCCCTACTCAAGCAATATCACCTTTGCTATTAAGAATATTTAGGGTAAAACATATAGTAATTCTGATTTAATAGAACAGTCTTTTTATTTCATATCCAATTTTTTAATACTGAGTTAAAGGTTTCTAAAGAATTAATAAATCAAAGCATTTATAATAAAAAGCCAATTACCCATCAGGTCCAGATACCTTTTCTGTTTTAATCTTCTTAATAGCTTCACAAATGTCCTTTATTGTTATGGGCCCATTCATAATCTATTTCTATTTCCCTGTAATCTTCATTAAATTTTGTTTCTTATATATTCTTATATATTGTTTTCTCTAAGCAAATGCCTCATCCTTTATATAAATTGGAATAATATTGATGAAATACTTCTTTGCATAGCCACATTATCTGTTATTACAGTACTTGCCCTTGACTCTTCTTTTTGAATTTACTATTATGTTGTATAAAGTAACCTCTCTTGAAAGTTTGCTTCCACCCAAATTATTCTTAATCTCTACCTTTATTAAGATTATTTTCAAAAAATCTATTTCTTTTTATACTTTTCCACTACTGCTTTTTTCTGTAATGACATTTCATTTTACCACTCTGTGAAAATACTGGGTTTTCATTTAAAAACCAAACTCTCTTTGGTAATGTCTCTACTTTATGAACCTTAGTTGAATTCTTGAAAATGAACTGTCTTTCAGAAAAATTAGAATACTCTCTTGAACTGCCACTGCATCAACAAATTCTAAATTGTCTATAAAACTAAAATAAAACCCTTTTGGTAATTCACCTTATGTAATTTTAATATTTTTCTCAGAAGTTCAGACTACTTGTGAAGGGATCACTCCATTCCATTTGCCTGAGTCTCTTCCAAATGCTTTCTTGCTTAAGGATTGTCTCATTCTTCTTTGCTTATGTAATGGTTTCTGCCTGTTCCCCTTAAGGCCCTCTCTTTGCTTTCTACAAACACTTATTTGCTTCCACTATGTTTCATTTGTAGTATTTTTACTTTGTTTGTTAATAAAACATCAGGTAAATGAGTTCTTATAATTTTAAAACAAGCATAAAAAAGATAATTTACAGGTGCATAGAGATTTTCCTAGGTACACAAAAGATTGAAAATAATCAGCAACTCAGTTAAGCAAGCATCTGAGCTTACATAAAATAAAGGATATTAAAATATCACTTGAGGTAAAAAAAACCTGCATTGGATCATTAGTCAACAATTTATATCCTTTGTTGCAACTCATCTAAACACATTTTCCTGTAATGTGGTATCTTCCAAATGTGCTGACTGACATTTGGGACCTGCACATTCAACTTATCGGAAGCATATGCTGTTGGGAAAAGATTGCTTAAAGATAGCGGTAACTATACAATATATAATGGTCCAGTGCAAATCCAGACTGTTCAACATATGGAACCAATAAAATTTATCAGCAACACCGCAGCTTATATCTGAGCTCTTTATTATTTTTTATTTACTCAGAATACTGCAGTGAGTTCAACAGCAACTAGTATTTGGATTAATAATTGGATTTCAAACATCAAATAAAAGTCAGAAGTGGAAATGTTTCTGATATATTCTGGCCACGACAATTCTACAGTAACAGCAATGATTGCTTTGCACATCTGTTGGTTCTACAATAATATAATTTGTTCCCTTTCAGTTTGCATATTTCATTTTACAAATGTTATGGATTATAAATACAGCCTTAATTCATTTCAAAGTCAAGACGATAGCATTCATAGTAAATAAGTGTTTCTTTGAATTAAACATGCACCTGGGTTTATAAATGAATTTGGATGATATATCTGAAACATTTTTACTACCACAGCTGGATTGTATTTATTGTCATTTATTTGTTTCAGTAGACAGTTAATGCAATGTTCATTCTCAAGAAGTCCACTGATGCTAATTCTGTAATCGCGTTGGACATATTAATTGTGTAAATATCATTTTTAAATGTTAAACTTCTAAATTGCATTCTAACTCATGAAAGCGCCTCTTTTCTTCCTGACCCACTTGATGGTATACTGTTTACAGTGGGTAACTTCCTTATTGGTTATCTAAGAAATGATATAGCACAAATGTTATATTGCCACCATGAATCCTTGATTTATTTCTTGAAAAAAAAATCTACATATTCTTTAAATTCTAGCAAAACCCTCTCTAACAAGAGTTCTTATCAGATGTAATACTCCCTTCTGTTAAGATCTAGAAGAATACATACAGTTTTGATTGCCTTTAGCTGCTATTTGGGTAAATATAGCAACAATGTATGTTCAATTCAGGAATAGTATCAAAGCCATGACTGAAATTTATTGGAACAAGATTGAAATGATTCTTCAGAATATGCAGTTTCCCCACTTCTGTTTGTTTGTTTGCTTTTCCCTGCTTTTATAAATCTTTAATAAATTGGATTTAATCAGGATTTTAGTCTGATCAAAAATAATAAGACCTCTCCAAAAATAAGGCCAAGCACTTATTTCAGGGGTCAAAAGAAAATAAGACCCTATCTTATTTTCTGGAAAACACGGTAGTTCATAACAGCTAAGTGTAGGTTGCTACAGGATTTCACAGGGTCAGTTTAGAGTATCCCAGGATATCATGCAGTACTAAGCCATAGCTATATCACATTTAGTGAGACAATCTATTTTTATGCTTGCACTTGCCTGCCTACTCTACTAACAATAGAAAAATCAGAATAAATTTAATACATAAAAGAATATCAATAGGTTTTTTTTTCTCTGTTGCTTGAAGAAACCATGTACTACTAGAAGAGTATAAGTACATTCTAAAGCCAAAAGTGGTGGCAACATTGAGAAGATAAGAAAAAATATTTATGGGTAATAATACCCATAAATGTTATCCATTATTGTAGATGTACGTGGGGACTGATTCACTATGTGACCAAGCCTATTTCTTATATGATCAGTTGGACCAATTTATATCTATCTAATAACTTGTGAATAATGTAATGTTAAATACATGATTTAACATCTACAGTCACCAAATGATGATATCTCATAGTTCCTATTCTTGGCTTCAATTTGCAAGGCTAGCTGAAAGTACTAAACTATCCAGTCTACTGATTAGTAATTATCATGTAATAAATGAGGGAGCACTTTTTAACTAAAAATACAGAAACATACAAAGTCAACCATTATAAAACCAGTGTATAAGAAGAAAAACAAACAATGGAATACTGATGTTTACATTATATAGCAATAACTTTACTGACATATAATTAATACTTAAAGCAAATTTATTTTAAAACTAACCTAAATTCTATATTTAATTTTAAACTTTTTATACATTTGAATTATATAAAGGTTACCAAATTTCCAGCAAGAGAGCACTTTGGCATTTAAAGGAAATGAGGAGAGATTAAAAAGAAAATGTATGCTTGTCTATGCCACACAGGCATGCATTAAACAAACTGCAATTCCTTACTGACTTTCTGCATTTTATTAAACAGTATTTCATCAGCAATATCAACATTTCAATATTCATAGCCAGTAACAATGGGAGGAAGGCATATTTTCTTTGTATATTATTAGCCATATTTTCTTATCATAGGAATGGAGGTTAGAAAGGTGAAGCAGGAAGAAATCCGAACTTGTTGAATTGCACATGTCCATGATAGCAGGAACATGGAGAGGGAGCATCATCTCACTAGATTGATCAATATCTCCTTGAGGAAGAGCCAAGAACTACATGGCCTTCTTTCTAGAACAAATTACATATTTTGAGTATCCTCTGATACTTCATATCCCAACAAGAAGTGTCCAAGAAATTAAAGGAATGTGATGCTTCATTTCTTTGGATTTGTCTGTGTTTGCATTTCTCTCTAGCACTTCTGGGCTTCATTCTACCTACTAACATGATGTCTTATACTATACCTGAAGATGTTACTAAAGTGCTTTTCAACCCAAATGCTTTCTTAAGGACAGAGCATCTTAAAGGTCATCAGATATCATAAGAGAGTCTGTAAATGCATAAGTGCCACTTATAATCTCATTTGACTAAGGAAGTTTTGCATTGAATAAAACTTCACAACATTGCAAGCCTTCCTGTTTGTTTTTCTATTGACTCGTTCTCTATACATTTCTTCTTTCCTTTTTTCTCCCAGGTGTGCCAATGCTGTTTGTAATCCTCTGGGGAATTGTCAAGTACCTTTATGAAGATGAGGGGTTGGTTCAGTTCTGATTCTTAACTAATTCATGTGAAGGTTGTGTTTTGTGGAAGGGGGTGAAGTTGCATATTTTTCTTGGTTATAATTGCTTTGGCAATGGCTATTGTATTGACATCTTGTGCATTTGCTCCACTTGTCACTTGATTAGTGTAAAAGCTTCTCATTACATTTTATTCAAACAAATAAGCACAAGCTTTTGCTGTTCAGCAACTTCTGCATGCCTAAATATACATCTGGCTCGAAAAGTACACTGTTTTATGTATTCTGCCCTTTATCATAACTCATCATCACACTTGGACAGCCTGTCTTTAAACTTGTATTTCTAGAGGCAGCCAATATGCCTGGCTCATTTAATAAAACTTTCCAATTATGACATTAATCTCTGTGATGGGAAAAATGCACATTTTGAGGATCAAGAGTTGTGATTTTGTTGAAACGACACTAATCAGAGATCAAACACTACTGATAGTCTAGTCTATAGTCTAGTTATTTTTCTGCAGAAAAGAGATAAAATTTGTCACACAAAACAACATTATCTGATTGTAAGTGGAAATCAGGTTGAGCCACGAAGATTGGCCTATCCATAGCTTCTGGTCATTGATTCTGATCTCAGGAAAGACTATTGCACATATGCCTTATTAGCGAGTTTCCAATGGATTTATGCTTTTGGTGAAACAATTATATAGCATCTTTCAGCCCTCATAAAAACCCCAGGTAGTCCTTATTTACAGCCATTTTTAAGTGACTGTTTGAAGTTAAGAAAGCACTGAAAAAGTGACTTATGACCATTGCAGCATCTCCATGGTCATGTGATCAAAATTTGGATACTTGGCAACTGGTTCATATTTATGTCTGTTGCAGTGTCTTGGGGTCATGTGGATTACCTTTTACAACCTTCTGACAAGCAAAAACTATGGGGAAGCCAGATTTACTTTACAACCACGTTACTAACTTAACAACCACAGTGATTCATTTAACAATTCTGTTGCTTAACCACAGAAATGTTGGCCTCAAATTGTGATCATAAGTTGAGGACTACCTGTAGTTCACAACAACACAAATCTGATTAATAAAACTACCATTTAAAAAGTATCCTTACTGGTGGCTGTTTAAAAAAAAACCTGGTTAAAACCATTAAACCCTAATGAAAAAAATAGCATTAACTTTCTGTCCTCCCACCCACCAAAATTCTCCAGAGGTTCAGATAGATTGCTTTCAGCTTCACCTTTTGTAGTTACACTCTCTTGTATGTATTTGTATGTACTTTGATTTGATTTGTATGCTGCAAAATCCACATACACTCACAATGGTTTATATACCATTCAAGTATAGGCTATAATGCTTCATTTTCCCCATGATGATAAATCTCCAGTGACAAGTCTAATGCAAAGGGAGGCCCTTTGCAGGATATTCTTCCAGTAACCTGGTTCTAAATTTATCATGGCTATCTGCACAATAAATTGGCTTTATTTGAATTGGAAATATTTATTTAACATATGGCAGGCTTTGGAAATAAATATAAAGCCAGTGGATATGAAATAGATGGGGAGTAATAATGATTCCAAAAGTGGACACTAAAGCATTCTCGCTATTGCATTTTGTTCCAAGTTGATTTTTATTCTCTAGTTTGTTTATTGACCATCACTGCTTCTGCCTTGTTTAGATTAAATCTCAATTCTCATAGTCTCTGATCAATTTATTCATGCACTCATACTAGTGAATTGTCACCGTGGAAACTGAACTTGTAAACCTTTGATCTGATTCTGTAGCGTCTTTAGTCTGATAAAGCATGTTTACTCACATCTCTAGTAATAAGCCATGCTTCCTGTGGATTGCAAAAAGCTTCACAGCAGATTGTTATTGTTGTAAAGTATTGTCCTGCAGAAAAAGTGCTAGTCTCAACAAGGGACTGGCTTTCTTTTTTCTTTCATTTGACTTAGTAAAACTTATTTATAAAAAATATATAATGCTTTTTTAGCTATGGGTGTTCATTTGATGAAGCAAACCATGCTATAAATGAGCACACAATAAATATATTTTTGTGCCCTTACTTTATCATTTACACCTAGAATGAATTTGGTAGAAAATTCAGGATGAGTATGTTTGAATACGTATTATATTTTTCACTTATTTAGCTATCATTTATTCACCAGTTATAAATGATTTTAATTCATCTGTTCAATGACAAATTTGATCGATCATAAAATTGACAATAAGGCACAACCTGAACTTATGCATTGCCCGTGGCAGCAAATAAACAGATCAGCATCAATGAATGTCCAATTAGTTAGGTTACTAAAGCTTTTATTGCAAATACAAGAGTAATATTAAATAGTAATATTAAAGGTAGACTGATCAAACAAACTCCTTATATATCTTCAATTGATTTGAATCCTAGAGATAACAGATGTACCCCAAAGTTAGTTTTGGCATAGTCCAGTCCTAGAAGCATGTTCTATATAGAAGTTCATTCTTGGCATTGATTTAAAGAATATATACAATCACATTCCTGTTTTTATTCAGCAATATCAACTTGATATTGGAATATTGGATATTGATAGTGGATATTGAATATTGATAGTGGAACACCTTTCCTCTGGAAGTTGTGAATGCTACAACACTGGAAGTTTTTAAGAAAAGATTGAACAACAATTGGTATAGGGTTTCCTGCCTGAAAAGGGGGTTGTACTAGAAGATCGCCAAAGTCCATTACAACTCTGTCATTCTATTCTATTTGTATTTTTTTAAGGTGTGTTTTTATGGGAGTTCAAATGTCATGAGTGTTTACCTTATTTCTACCACAATAACCATGGGAAGCAGTTAAGGGAGAAATACTGACTCAAATAGTCATAATAAGTTCTATGATCAAGTGGATCTCATAGATTTAAGTTCCCTTGCTATGTGTCTAACCTGAATCTTACCCAGTGTACTACATAATCCAGTTATAGCTGTTCTTTCCATAATTAGTTGGCTATTTTCAGAACAAAACTTCAGAAACTTTTTTCTAATAGCACGTTGCATGGCTGTGAAAATTACTTGAGTCTCAGCATTTTCCTACAGGAGTGTTGTGCAAATATTCACTGTATGATTTGCTGCAGTTTCCTTTTTCATATTATATGTATATTCTTATTCTGCTTTTAGGGGTGTTTAGAAGAATATATATAAAAAATAAATTAAATATAAATACTTTAACACCATCTTCCATAGATTTATTCATTTGTGAATCATTAGGGTCAATAAAACTTTATCACATATAAGCGTAGATAACATGATTGCCTAAAAGCCTTCCAACTATGTCCATTGGAATGAGTATTGTGGTGTTTTCTTACCCTAGTCTGCTAGAACAGTTTAGCATTTAATATTGCTACCATTATGTTCGGGTATTGTAAATCGTCAGTATACCAGTGAGAATATTGATTATTACAATTGTAATAATTGATGCCTTTTTGCATTTTGTACTAAATTAGTGACGTTGAATATGTCTTTGAATTAAGTTTGACAGTAGTAGTTGCTGAAAGGGACAATATAGACAAACACGAAAGGGGT